CTACGCAATGATTACATTCAGGCAAACTGTACAATACAACCTCTTTGGACAATTTATATACTTATTGAAAACAAGATACAAAATGTAATAACTTGGAAAATGCAGCTTAATACGTTTTAATAGCCTTAATTTTCGCTAAATTGATTTATCTTCTTTTAATACTTTTTAAGACCCCGCGGACACCCTGTAGAGGGAACAAATTGTCTGATTTAAAAAAGGGATGGACTGTTCCAAAAACAGACATTTTATATTTGATTGGTTTGTGGGGATCTCAGCAGGAAGCTGGCTTTTGGACTTACAGGATAGAAATCAGCGACGGCCTTGACCTGCTCGTAGTCATCTGCCCGGGCCAGCTGAGCAAGGCCTTCTGGGTAAAGCTTGCCGCAGTGGGGGAAGAGCTTGGCGCGGTCCTCCTTGGACAGCTCTGTGCCGAACGAGTTGATAGTGATGATGAAGGCCCTCCTGTCGGCCTCGAACTGCAGCAACAAGTAGAATGTAAGTGGAGCAACAACGAGTGACTGACTGAGCCTCTACTTTATTCCACAGCCAAAAACACTTAGCATTTTTATCTACACAGTAATTAGTAAGCCTAAAAAAAGTTGGACATAATTACAACCTTTAAAAAGCACTTACGACGTAGCAGATGTTACAATTAGCCAGATGTGTCTGAGTGTGTGTAGGTGCATGTGTGTTTGTTTATTTATATAAATAAACAAGGCAGAGACTCACCTCCAGGATGGGACACATGGTGTCAGCCGTGGTTCCTCCGAGGTTGGAGCAGAACTTATAGAAAGCCTCCAGGTAAGCCTGAAAAAAGGGTTTAAAAGGTTATGTAACCAATAAATAAACAAAGCAAAAACCAGATCATGGCATTTGTTTAAAATATAAATATGAAAGAGAAAAAGATAAAGTGGAATTTAGCCTTTGCAGACCATTTACACGCACAAACACCTACGGTATATAACACACTACTGGAACGGGAAACCCCTAAAAAGCATGATAGGGCCCCTTTAAAGCTCTTGCATTAAGTATGTTTATCATCATGTATGATAATAAATATAATATGCTCCACCTTATAAAGAGTATTACGAATTATTTCAATGTTCATCTCATCCAAGTCCTGTTCAGATATGCAGTCCTGGAAGAAAGCAGCTGAAAAGCAAAGAAAAGTACATTAAAACCAACAGCAAGGAGATGTTTCCTTTAGCTTTGGCACCATCTGCTGTTCTGCTAAAACCATTACCATTCAGTTTTCACACTTTTCATATTTAAATGGCAGGTTATTTAGGGGGGTACAAACCGAGGGGCGTGTCCACCAGGATGGCGTTGTAGAGCTCGGCGGGGGTCTGGGCGATGTTGACCGCCTCCATCTGCTCGAAGCTGCCCAGGGGATGGCACTTGGGCACCAGCTCAGAGATGGCCCGCTGGTGGAGGGTGCCCGTGATCAGCAGGATGACGTTATCAATCATATAGCTGTACCTGAAGACACA